GGCGGGACTGCGGGGGAGGGTGCAGGCCCCCCGGGGGCGCCGCCCCGGGGCGGGGAGGGTGGAGCAGGGGCGGGCGCCCGCAGCCGCTACCCTTCCAAACCTGGGAGGAATGCGCGCCTCCCCGCGACCACGGCAATGACAATAACAGTACCAAGGACGAGAATGTCCATTAGTAATCGATGTTATAATGAATCCCCTCTTTTTAGGTCTCCCTGTCACACGTTGGGTAAATGTGGTAGAGCTTATTGTCCTTACTTTACAGATAAGGAAACTGCAGCTCGGCCACCGGGAGAGATAAAGGTGGGCTGCGGAAGGAGGTCACCCGGGGCAAGGGCACCTGGAGGAGGCAGAGTGCGGGAATCCGGGACAGAGCCCCGGGAGCGGACAGCGTGAGGAAAACCTCTGTCCTGGGGGCTGGGCGGCAGTGTGGACGCGGAGGGCCGCCTGCAGAAGGAACCTGGAGGTAGAGAGGAGGGGGATGCGGTGGCGGAGTCGCTACCGGGTCCGCGCGGCCTTCGCGTACGGTGGCGGGTGCCGGGCACTTTTCGGTTGGCCAGCTCCGCTCTGAGATGCTCTACCAGACGATCCCCGAGATGACGGGCGACCGTGGCGGGGGAGGATAGAGCCGAGACTAGAGAATCGATTGGCGCCTCCGCCCATCTTCCCCTAACGCCTTTCCTAAAGGATTGGATGAAACCCCTCCTGGATCCAAACTCGAGGTAAAACTGGTTTCAGCTCCGGGTCCTCCACGCCCTTAACTCTATGTGGTGAGGCCTACCCTCAATTTGCATCCAAGGTTGGAGACAGAATCAAGTTTGTTTAATAAAGAAGATGGTCTGTAATTCTCACCTACATCTCCTCCCGCCTAACATTTGCTGTGAAAACACCGGCAGGCCCCGGGTTTTGTTTGGAGTTTCTTAATTATTTTTATTTTGTTTATATACTTTTAGCAAAAGCGTTGTGTTGGTCCTGTGGAACATAGAGAGGGAGGAAGGGCACTTTCCCTGCCCAGCACAGACTGCAATCAAAAGGAAGACACTTTATGGCTACGAATAACATACCGTAAAAGCAGGCCGAGGCCTGTAAAACGGTAAAATATAAAAGTAAGTCAATTTGGTGCCATTTAAAAGCCATTTAAAAACAACAGACAGCAAAAACTCCTGTAGATAAACACGGTAAATAAGAATATTCTTTGGCTTCACATTGTGACCATAAAAGAGAGAGACCAGCCAGGTAGGAAAGAGAGAGGAAAGAAAAATTGGAAAAGAATTCAATAAACAATGTAAGTAAAAGAGATTCAAAAGGAAAAAAAAATCATCGATTATTCACAGCTCAGACACACAATCACAAACAGATGTGTCTGTGTCTATACATGGTTTTAAAAAGAAAGGTATAATATATAGAGAGAAATAGTATAGAGAGATGTGGAAATAGTGGAAAATAGAAACACGAAGTCATAGAGAAATATTAAAAGTTTATATTATGAAATTTCTGCTAAAGTCTTGAATTTGTTACATTTTGCAAAGGTATAAGTATATTTGCAGATTTATGCAATTACAAAGGATAGTGTGAAATTATAGGCAAATAGGAGGCTTCGGGGTTCAATAAACTTGCCTTAATCCCATTTCTGTTACTTATGAGCTATTTGACTTAAGAAATTAATTTCCCTGAGCCTCAGTTTTCTCATCCATATTGTCGAGATAATTATTTCTACTTTATGGACTTATTTGAGCTTTAAATAAGATGAAATGTACAACACTTAGCTCAGTGCTTAGTTCTAAATAAGTCATAGCTATTATTATTATTATTACGACTGTTGGTTTATTCCTGCTTTTTAACTTGGTTAACTAAGTTAAAGATTAGATTTCAGCTAGTAGTACTAGGTCTCATCCAGACCTTACAGAATGTACCATGTCCTTAAAGCTTACAGGTTCTCAGGAAGTCTAAAAATAATTGTCCTTTTTTTGAAATGGGGATCTGTGGGTGAATGAGTGCATTTGATGACAGTCCAGATAAACAATATCGCCTGAAAAGCCCTTGCAAACAAGAGGTTTGTAGAAGCAAGAAGGATGAGAGTGAACTTCTGTTCTCCCTGGTCACTGTTAAATAATTTTGGAGGAGGGAGGATAACACATTTTTCCTTAGTAATAACCAACATCCCTATAGCGCTTACTCTTCACATCATATGACTCACATTGGCTGACTCCTTTTCCCCTACTCTTCCTTCAACTTGACCTCCAGTTATTTTTTTCAGTTTGCAAAAGGGCAGTCAGCAATGTCAACAGAAAAGTCCACACAAAACAGGTAGCTTGACGCCAGTGAGGCCTTAAAGGTCAAACTAAAGGTAATTTCCTCATCGCTGTGCTCTGCTTCTGACCTAATTTAAAAAGGCAGTCACTGGCAGGCCAGGGACATAGCGGTTCCTGGCTCCGGGGTAAACAAAAAATTGCTACTCTGGTCTCTACACACCATCCAAGGACACAGTTCACAGCCCTTTCTCCTAGTATTTGTCCAAGTGGGTGGGAAGGAGGTGGGAAAAAATTGAAAGGCATTGGGTCTGAGACACTCAGTCTAAATCCTCATTTGCCTATGGGAGAAAAACAAAGCTCTTTATCTGGTATTGAGAAACTCTGGAAATAAATCCATTTTTATTGAGTATATAAAGTTGTTGAGAAAATCAAACACAAACTGCTCCAAATAATATCTAGTAGATATTGTAATTGTTAATTCTATTTAGAGTTGGTCTAGGACTTTAGTTTTGGGCATTATAAAACCCTATTCCTCTTTCCCCACTTCCACAAAGCTTGGAATGTTAAGAATCTGCATTAAGGTGGGTCAAGTTTTCCAAATTTGCACCGACATTGCTGGTAGATTCCTCTAAATTACTCAGTTTCAAGAACTTTAATTCAGGGTTTCTTATGAAAGCTAGTTGTCAGTTATCTTTCTTATTCTTGTCAAATGCTGGTAGTTATTCATAAGACAGTGGACTAGAAAGAGGACAGATATGGATGTCTACTTTGAAGAAAGTCCGAGTAATCATCTCCCTATCAGCCTACTGTGGGTAGGCACTTGGCATATATTATCTGTTAGAAAATTGCAACAAGCCTGTAAGAAAAGTATTATTATTATTATCTATACTTCGTAGAAGAATCTAAGGTGCACTGAGTTTAATTGGACAGGCCTAAAAGAAAGAGCTGATAAAAGTCAGAGTCAGGATTCAAACCTGCCTGCCCCCAGGGTCCTTCCACAGTGCCTTCATGCTGCCCCTGTGATGATACCGATCAAAGGACCTGACACAGTGGCCACATATAATTGCATAATGTTAGAGGAATGCAAGAATTCAATAAATCAACCAGCATGGAGTTCACTTGGAAGAACAGTATATTTTATGCCCATGCTCCCTAGATGTCTAATAGATATCTCAAATTTAACATGTTCCAAACTGAAGCTTTGATCTTCCCAACCACCCCTTCCTCCATAACCTTCTCTATCTCTGTTGATGGCTACTCCATCCTTTCTTTCCTGGGCTCTTTGTCTCACACCCCACATTCAGACTATCAGCCAGTTCTGTAAGTCTACTTTCCAAATATATCTAGAATCTGTCTACCTCTCACCGTTTCTGCCACTATATCAAGACCTCCTTATTTCTTGCCTCCCAATAGCTGCAGTCTTCCAACAGGTCTCCCTATTTGACCCTCATCTCTCTCGATAGTCTCTCCTCAGCTCAGCAGTCAGAATGATTCATTTTGTGATTCCAATTCCATTGAGCAAATGTCCTACAGGGCCCTTATTATCTCTGACCTCATCTGTCATTCTCCCCTTGGTTCCCTGTGCTTAAGTGCCGCTAGTGTACTTGCTGTTCCTCAAACACAACAGGTACCTCCCCTCATTAGAATGCATTCTCCATGGTTATTCTTGGATGGCACTTACTATGTACCTGAGGCTGTCCAAAGGGCGGGCCATATGTTAACTCATCTAACAATCCTGCAAAGTAAGTGCTACTACTCTTAACCGTTCTTTTGAAAGATGGAGAAATTGAAGTATGAGGATTAGGGAGCATAATGGGAGTCCATGCTCTTTATCATTAGCCTATGCCATGTCTAAAAATGATGGCTTGCATCATTTTAAAACTCTGATTTTTCTGAGCTCTTTATCTTTTTCACTTGTTGGAAGTTGGATTTGAACACGTAGTTTAGATGTGAATTTGCAAGGCACTTGCTATGGATTCCGGCAACATTTTCCTTCTCTTGTAGTACAGAGCCTTTGTTTAGCCATCATGCTATTTTTATTTTTCATAACGAAGACATTCACCAGCTTTGACTTATTTTTTTTCTGGTTGGCACATCATATTGGTTTAGTTCAGAGAACTTTATAATCCCTTTCAAAGAATAGCTGGTTCTTGTCTTCTCTATGTTCTCCAGCCCTTCACTAATCGATAGGGGGGTTCATACACATGTAAGTACAGAAGTATAACAACTTCTAGAGACTATTCATCTCATTTACACGTTCTGTGAATTACTGGAGAGAGAGAAAAGAGCAGATATCTGCTATTAGCAGTTAGCATAGAGGAATGGGAACTTTTCTGTTGAATGAAAAAGTGCCAGAAGCCGTGGATAAAGATGTTTATCGCGGATAGACTTTGAGGATACAGGGAATGGAGTGGGGATGGGGCAGGGACTGAATTCAGACAGACAGAAGGATTGAAGGAGTGGAAGTATGACAAGAAAGCAGTGGGCAGAATTTTAGGGGTGGGGATAAGGGCAAAGTGGAAATCTAAGAAAATCTCCTACAAATCTTTACATACCAACCCAACAGATTGTCATCAATTTTTCACCAACCCTTCTTTCTTTCATGTCAGAATGAATCTAATGCTTGTGAAAAAATCTCCAGAAACGTGAAAAAGTATATTAATGTTATAGGTTTTCATTAATTTTTTTCTCTTTTATAAGTTGTAACATTTTTTTTCTCTTTTTCATCTTTATAATCACTAGAAGTAAAATCACATACTAATTAGTAAATATTAGCACATAATAGCTCCCACTTACAGAGTTCCATCTCTATGCTAGGGACCCTGCTGGGCTGTTTACACACATTGCCTCCCTGAATCCTCATGAAAGCCTTGAGAAGTAGGACTGTTATTCCCATTTTATGGAATAGGAACCTGAGGCTCAGAGATGCTAAGCAATTCAAATGTAGGCTCCATGAAGACAATCATTTTTTGTCCTTTTTGTGTGTATGTCTTATTTTTTAATTGGCTGTCTCCAGCAGTTAGAACAGGGCCTGGCGCAGAGTATGTACTTAATAAATATTTTTTGAATGTTAAATGAACTTGTTCACACATCTGTAAATGACACACCAACAGGCTTGTCCATTCCAATCAACCTCTGTGTTCTTGCTACAGTGCTTCTGGGACACACGGCTCTTTGAGGTTCTGAGGGATAAATTTAAGTGGGCAGCCCGAAATAGGATGTTTTGTCCCATTGTTCCTGTGGTAGGCACACCTTTTTATATAAACTCTTGGATATCTTTTTCTCCACAAATGAAAATACCGTTATTATTTTCATTGTCAAAATTATACAAGCTCATTGAGAAATTTGAGTGATACAAAAAAAGTATAAAAATTTAAGACAAGGATTGGAGTGAGGCAAGTGAGGCACTTGCTCTGCATGCATAATTTAAGAGGGAAGCAAAAACTCAGTAATCAAAATAAAATTTTAATTCACTGTTTAAAAAAATAAAAATTAATGCAAAAAATCCATGATGAACAAAACATCAAAATTTTAAACAAAGACAAGATCTGTGAGCTGGGACAAGGGTGTGGCAAGTGACACACTCTCAGGGTCACATAAATGCAAAGTCAAATCCTATCTATATTTAAAATTTTGATATTTCATTTTTTCCTGCAGCAATTTTGAATTTTTTTAAATTGCATTCACATGTTACTTATGTTGATAACTGAGTTTTTCAGGGCACTTTCTTAAATTTTGCAGCTAACATGAGTGCCTCACTCACCTAACCCTAATCCCAGCCCTGATAAAAATGAAAGAAAATGTTTTCACGGGCCACATGGCAATCCATTTTGGGGTATATCATAGTCATTTAGTGAGCTCTCTATTAAATAATACAACAAACATTGTACATATATTTTTGCCCATTGTTCTGATTATTTTCTTGGCATGAGTTCCTAGGAGTGGAATTGGTGGATCAAAGACTTTGTGTGCACGGTGCTTTTTTAAGCAGAAAAGCTTCTTTGGGAGTCACTGGTAGTTAAATGTAGTGGCCTTACGCAATTTTTACAGAAAAAAAAATTAATATATTTTCTATTTTTTGGACAGGGTCAGGAGACAAAATGTCATCACATTTTTTGCCGATGTCACTGACTTCTGAAGGTAAAAAAGAAATCAATGAGCTCTTGCTTTGTGCTGAGCATGGTTAGTCTCGATAGCAGATTGGGAGAGTAAGAAAAAGGGAAATGCTATACAGATGGTCTCTCCATGTAAAGAGCTTGTAAACTACCGGCTGAGAAGGTGCTCTTCCACTTTTAACTCTCAAAAGAAAAATCTGCAAATTAGAAGGGCATTATTTCGTCATATCTAGCTGGACTAGTAGAGTCTTTCGTGACAGAAAACAATTAACTCAGTGGTTTGTCATAAATGATGTGAATAACCATCAAAATCTGCTCTCTCCTTTTCTTCATGACCCTTTCTCTCCTTATCCTCCCACTCCTTTACGAGTATACAAGGAATTAGTATTTATCAGTGTACAAGAATCACTCTTTTTTTCACTTAAAAAATTTGACAAAGATTTAAAAATTGGGCAACACCAAGAGTTTGTTATGAGTAACAGGCGCTCCATAGGAATTCTCTTAGAAGGAAATGTGGCCCTATCTGTATTTAGAATTCAACAGTTTGGCTGCAACTGACAAAAAATGTAAAACAACAGTGGCTTAAACATGACAGAAGTTTATTTCTCTCTTAGGTAACAGTCTGGACATAAGCATTCCAGGGCCCATACGGAGGCTCTCTTTATGGGCCCTGGCTTCTTTTCGCTTCTTTCTGGCCTATGTCCTTGATCCAAGGTGGCCACTTCTGCACCAATGATCACTCTCATATTCCTGCCAGCAAGGAGGAGAAAAAGGGAGAGGAGGAGCATGCCACTCCCTTTTGGGACACTTCCTAGAAATTGCACTCAGCACTTCCCCTGACATGTCCTTGTCCAGAACTTAGACATATGGCTATATCCAGCTCCAAAGGAGGTTGAAAAATATAGTCTTTACTCTGGGTGCCCATGTGCCAAGCTAGAATTTAGGGCTCTATTCCTGTAGAAGAAGGAAGAATGAGTACTGGGGGACCAGCAAATTTTTAAAAAGCATTTAGATAGGGTGTTGGGAAAATTTCCCAATATATACTGGAACCAACCACCAAAAGAAGACAGGCCAAGGGATCAAAGAAAAAAGCTAACAACTCCGGAATTAAACAGAGTTTATTAAGGAAACTTATAGACAAACAAAAGAGAGTCTTGAGCTTCAGCAAAAAGGTGGAACTTCACACCCAAAAAGAGATGGGTCTTGATATGTAGAGCCTCCAGGAACACAGATGGCTTGTGTGCTTGTTAAGAGCTGTATATCCCAAAGCATTAAACAACTTAATGTGCCTACTTATTATCTATGTAAGAACATTCCTTTCAGGTGGTGCAAGCCCGCCCTTCCCATGGTGAACTGTCAGTCACTAAGAGTAACTTGCTTCTTAAGATGGCTTTGGTCACGTCAATCACCAGAAATCATTTTGCTCAACATAGGCCACACTGACAATTTTTTCTACAGATATGTTTGCACAAGCGATTAAAGATGTGTACAAGAATATTCACCACAGCATGGTTTATAACGGGGAAAGACTGGGACCAACCATAATGTCCACTGATAGGGATTGGTTATATAAAGTATGACACATCCAAGGAATGGGATACAAGATAGATATTTTATTTATTTATTTATTTTTGGTGAGGTAAATAAATGCTGATGTCAAAAGAACTCCTAAGTATATTGTTAACTGAAAAAAAAAACAAGAATCGGAACTGTAGGGTATGTACTGAATGATCTCTTTCTATTAAAGGGTTTATATTACTTTGTCAAGATCCATGAGGCATCTAAGCTAAGCTACTGCTATAAACATTCACGTACAAGTCTTTGTGCAGACAAATGTTTTTATTTCTCTTGGGTATATACCTAGGAGTGGAATGGCTCTATGTTCTACTTTTCGAGGAACTGCCGGACTGTTTTCCTAAGTGGCTACACCATTTTGCGTTCCCACCAGCAGTGTATGAGGGTTCAATTCTTCCACATCCTTGCCATACTTCTTATTATCTTAGACTTTATTTTAAGACCCTCTGGTCTAGACCGAAGAGCTCCCTAAGGATTTTGGCTGTGGCTATTGCGGCAGAAATGGTGGTGTCAGGATAACAGTAGGTGTATTTGTGGTGATGGAAAGAATCAACATGTTAATATCTCAAAATGCTGAGATATTAAGTCAACATGTTAATATCCCACTATGCTGTAATAGGCCCCCTCATCTATTTTTGCACCAAATATAGACTCATTCTCCATGAATCACTAAGCACTGTGCTCAGTGCCATGAGGAACAGACAGATGACCCTGTGGCTCCTGTCCTCTAGAGCGAGGTCCCACATCCTCACCTCGGTTTGGGAGGCAGGGCTGATTACATCCTTCTCCTCAAAGACTGACACATCCTACTTACTGTACCCTGGCTGGTGGGAGCCTTGTCATCTGGTCAAAAGAGGAGGGATGATAGAGTTTTTCCTTCTTTTTTTTCTTAACAGATAAAGTAAAGGATGACTCAATCAAAAAGGAGAGGCCATATAAGATCTTTTTCAAAGATCTCTTTCTTTTTAAAGAAAATGAAATGGCAGCAAAGAAAAAGGTAAGGTTTTATTAAAATCCCAATCCCAATTCATGTTAGAAACATCTTCTTATCTGTCACTTTTATGAACTTTGCTGAGTTAAGACATAGAGTCAGATGTCGATGTATGTGCTACACACTGTGCTAGGGACGGTGTAGACACCTACGACAAAACAGCGACAAGCCTGTGGCAGGGACCTAATGATCACCCCCTACTGGGGGAAGACAGACACACCACTACGATCCACTGTGACATGTACGGTATATCCTTACTTCATTGATTCTAACACCCACATGTTTCTATATTTTCTCATTTCTGAAATTGAGATCCAGCTTATATAAATGGCGGTGCATCAAATAATAGTGCATCTTACAATCAATAGCATCTTAGAGTTGTGCAATATAGTAATAGAGGCATACAAAGGAAATCTAGAGAAAGTGAGAAGAGGGAGAAGAGGGTAGTTTGTGTGTGTGTGTGTGTGTGTGTGTGTGTGTGTGTGTGTGTGTGTGCGTGCGCGCGCATGCGCGCAGACTCCACTGAGGCAATAATAGGAGCAGAATTAATCAAAATTTGCTAGGCAGAGACACATAAGAGACTGTATATGCGTGTGCTAGGAGGGCAGTTGGGGAAGAAAGAAGAAATAAAAGTGAAGCAGGGGGTGTCATTTTAGATTATTGAGTATGAAGCTAAATCAGCAATGAGGCGAGGCTAACTTTCCAGCTGTGCCTTATCTTGCATTCCGTTACTATTTACATGGCATTGTTCCGATTTCATGAAGTTTGCTTTCCTTATTCCTAGAAGTAACGGTTGATTACAATATTTTTTTGAAAGAATCGGGAAAATATCCAGAAATCCTCAATAACTGAGTCAGCTGTAGGGTGATGGTTTTACACATGTGTTTTATGGTTTGATTGAAAGTTTCCAAAATTAAACTGGGAAAAGGTTCACAAATCAGAAGGCCTATTCTTTTTTTTTTTTTTGGTCTACTGGGAAGGCCCATTTCTGTTAGGTTTTCAATTCCGCAGAATCATTCCTTTCAAATCAGTGGAATTTCCAAGTTTGCTGCATTTTGGGCAAGACAGGATTGTGACAATAAAGCCAGAGCAACATTTTCCAGTCTCATATTTGTCATGTACATGTTTAGTAAAGATTGAATGTTTTTACAGTTGTGTTCAGCTTCATATGAGAAGGAACTGAAAATTAAACAGTTATTCAAAGATAAGAATGTTAGGTTGCTTATTTAATGTATTTAATGACAAAAGGACTTGTTCAAAATGATATTTTCTGTATATGATCACAATTTTAAGGCGACATTACTTTGATGTATTAGAAAAATTTTTAAAACTTTTCCACTTGGACAGGAAAAACATTTGAACCGCAACTTGAAGGTTCACCAAAAGTCTACTTTTTCATCCCGAATGAAGAGTCGTTCACACCTGAGCAAGATAGTATTCTACTCTGACACAGCTGGTGGCTCCTTTGAAAATTTTGGGCTAGATCCCACTCTTGTTCTCAGATTAACAGAAGGTAAATCTTAATAACTGTTTGTTTAAGAACATTGTTTTGAATATTTACTATTAATATCAGATTTGGTGGCTTTTCTGAAGGTAAGAAACACAAAGTACGCTGTCTCATAATGTGGTGGGGGAGTCTTTGTAAATAGGGGTTGTGAGTTGAGAGAAAATCTATTTTCAATAATAAAACACATTTTTCCAAGAAACAGACTGTTACTGATTTTCATGGCTCTAAGGAAGAAAGTCACTGCCAAAATGACACACTATTGAAGGTAATAGCTCAGTTTGAGATGTAGAAATATAGACATTTTTAAAGAGAATTCTTGATTGTCAGGGCCATACAACTCATATATCCACTCAGGAAGCTCAGAGAATTAAATGTTTGCCTGTGGTTGCAAAAGCATAACCTATTTTAACGACCTATCAAGGCGACATGCTAAAATACTACAAGCCATTAATTATTGCTCTGTGAAAGAGGGCAGTCTGGTAATCAAACTGTCATGAGCATCTTCTACTTATCAGATCAAGAAAGTGCCTATGAATGAGAATGACTAACTTCAGAAATCCTTGCCACTCTAACGCTTATGAGATAGGTAAGGAGGTATGGTATGGCTTTGCAGATGGCCGTGTTTGTCACCATTGCTAGTTAACAGGGGGTTACTGATCTCTTAAGAGTCAAGGACATAGATAGACTCTTAAAAAGAAAATAGTAAATTTGTTTGGTATTATCCAAGACAACCTGGGCTCTGTCAGCAATGGAAATCAGGCTGTCAGTTTCTGCTGATTGCACAGTTATTTGGATATTTTCATTTGAAATAAAGAAGTCCCCCTCAGACTCTTTCCAACCAAGAGCTGATTTGGGTGAAAACTTCATTCCCCAACCTTGCATTTCCTGCTTGAATTCTGATTAAGGACAAGCCTACATAATAGTCAAACGAGCAAGTGACCCCCACTTTGGGAGTCTAGGGTATTTTATTTTTGTGTAGGCAGGCAATAGTGGTGAACTACCAGATCACATTCAAATAAATTACACAGGCAACTGTCACAGACAGATTGATCAGTTAGGCTACATGACAGATGTGCCTTTTGCACCTCCATGCAGCAAGCAGCTTGACTTTGGTTTTGCTCTCAAAGGGCAACACCTCTGGACCACGCCTCCAGGGAGTAACGGGGTAGGCATTGGTGTTGAGGAACACCAATGCTTTGGAGGGATGTACAGCTTTATCACATATCATCTCAGTCAGAAGAGCTGCCTGATAATTGGAAGAGCCAAAATGGGAAACACACTATACAAAGTCTACTTAGAGTTGAAAAATAAAATTGCATCAATGCAGCCAGGCAGTACCATGTTAAAATAGCCTGAAATAGTTAGGATGGCTATCGTATTTAGTAAATTGACAGTATAGGATTTTTTTTGTATACTGAAATTAATTTTCAATTCATCTGACCCATCATAAGTGGCCAAATGAAAGCTATAGAAAGCACTTTCTTTTTTCTGTTAAAAAAAATGTTTTTAAATAAAAATGTTTATGTAAATTGAACCTGAATCTAATCAAGTAAATATGAGAGATTAAGGGCCATGTGAAATGACATCATGAGGATGCCATCTGCCAGATTCATTATGTGGGAAATTCTACAGAGAAATTGATCTGATTTGTTAAACAATTAAAAGGCATGGAAAAGGGGTAGTCTGTATGGAGAATATGGGTAGCTGTTACAGATTTTTAAAAAAATAGAATTTAGGAGTCATACTAACCAAAATGATCTTTGTTTAGATTTAAATTTTTTTAATTCTAAAAAGTTCTTTTTGATAACAGCTGGGGAAATTTGCACCCAGTCTTGGTGTTAGGTGATGCTAAAGAATTGTTCATTTTGTTTGGGATGATAGTGATATGATGGCTATGTTTTAAAATGTTTTTATCTCATAGAGTTACACTGGTTATTTGGAAAATATTAATTTATTTTTACTATTTACATTTTTATTAAAATATTTTATTTGCTATTACATTCTGTTGTTTTTTCATGAAGGGAACATTATTGAAATGTAGCCTATATATAATTTTTCCAGAACAAAGAAATCTTGAAAAAATTTTTGGTATTTTCTATTGCTAGATGCTAAGCTGGTCATCATCTTTTCCTTTCCCACCATAAATTTGGTTAGTGATCCCCAAACATACTTTGCCTAATGACTTCAGTTTTATGTCTAGATTGGACAAAAAGATAGTAACAAGTACCTTATTGGGTTTATTGCTAGGATTAAATAAAATGATGTATTTAAATTGTTTACTAAAGTTCTTGGAATATTATGGACACAAAATAAATGGCAGTTACTCTTATTAGTTTTTAAATCCAGATATATACTGTACGCAATACTTCAATTACATAGCTTTTATTTTTACATCTTTGAGGGGTAATGAACTAAATCTAAGTCAATTTCAATTTTCTTTAAAGGTTCAGACACAAAAAAGACTGTCCAGGAATTTATTGATGACCAGAGAGACAGGTTTCTGCTCGAGGTAGTAAAAATAATTTTTCTCCCATTAGCCAAATAGGAGACTTCTTGCATAGCATTGCCAAATTTTCACCTTGACGTTTTATTTTTCCATTATGTGCTCAGATCTATTGCCCTTCCTATCCTCCCTAAACTCACTCCAGTCGAGCTTCGGGCCTCATCGTTCTACCAGAACTACTTTGGATGAGGTTACTGAAGACCTTCCTATTGTGAAATTTGAATTGTCATTTCACACTCTTCCTTTTACTCACCTTTCAGCCGCAGATGGCCCATGTGATCACTTCCTCTTTCTTGAAACCCTTTCATCTGGTTTCCAGGACCCACTCTCTCTTGATTCTTCCACATAACTGGCTGCTCACTCCTTTATAGTTTTCTTATTCCTCTTCTCCTTGATCTCCAAATGTTGGAATGTCCCAGGGCTCACTCCTTACCCTGTCCTCTGTCTACTCTCCTCCAGGCCTATGGCTTTAAATTCCACTTCCATTTAATTCTCTAGCCCGACCCTCTTTCCTGAACTCTAGACTCACAAGTGCAACTCTAGTTCTTAATATTTCCACTTAGATGCTCAACATCTATCTCTGACTTCACATTTCTAAAACTTTGCCTCTGCTATATTGTCCCCTACCCCTGAAAATCTGCACCTCATGCAGTGCTCCCTATCTCAGTAAATAGCAATTTCATTTTTCCAGTTGCTTAGTCCAAAAATATTGAAGTTATCTTCAACTCCACCTTCTTACAACCCACAGCCAAATAGACTTGCAAATATATTTCTTCCCAATATATCCGTAATCACACTACTTTTAATGACTGCCACTGCTGTCACCATCGTGCACATCACCAGTATCTCTTGCATAAGTTGTTGTTATAACTTCTAATCACTTCTCCTGCTTCCTCTTGTGCTCCCTGTAGTCATTCTGTTCTCCACACAGCAGTAGGAGTCGCTCCTCACACATGCCCTTCCTCTGCTGAAGACCATTTGTGATTTATCTGGTACCCAGCTCTCTCGCTCTCTGACCTCATTCCCACTGCTCACCCCTTTGCTCCATCTGCTCTAGCCACACTTTGCTGTCCCTGCGACACACCAACCATGCTGTTGCCCCAGGGCCTTTGCACAGCAGGCACTTCCTTCTGGCAGGAACATTCCCCTCTCGGATATCCACATGATTTGCTCTCTCCTCCTAACAGTCTGTTTAATTTTCACCATATTAAAGAGGATTTCCTTGGCTATACATGACAGTAACCCTCGCCCTTGCCCACTGGACTCTTTGTTCCCCTCTAGACTCCTCTCTCTAGACTATATACCCCATAAAAGCAATTTTGTTTATTTTGTTCATTGCTGTCTGAACATCACTTAAAACAGTCCTGGCACACAGTAGGCGCTCAATAAATACTTGGTGAATAAAGTAATAAATGAAATATATTTTTGTTATAAATTTGGAGTATCATGGTATTGATTGTCTCATTTATGTATTTTTAAAATATTTCATGTACATATTTTTAGTTCATTTGTATGATAATATATGTGGCTTTGTTTTTTTATAGTTTATTTTCCACACATAGTATTAAAATCTAAGTGGATTCTTATATTCTGTACTAAAAAAATAGAAGCTTGGTGTCAGAGTAGGATTTGGGGACCTAAATGGGGCTCTTTAAAGCTAAACACCACCCTTGGGCTGGCTTGGGGACATGCATCACTGACATACAGCATTGGAACCTGATTCTCCCTTGGTTCTACCTATAGTCAGAGTCTTTGTGGCTGCAGACAGCTCAGTTTTCCAATGCTCAGAAACTATTGGTGGGACATTGTGGGTGATACCAGGTGGACCTGCTCTTTGGAAGAATATGTAGCTATTTTTGATTTGTGGGGCACAGTCATGAACTTCTTTAGATATTTAAAATTAGATCAAGTGAGATACACTTGACCAAACGATATTGAGCCTCTTCATGAAAGTGGAAGAGGAGAATTAGTCTCCCTGCTAATTATCCCCCAAATAAAATTCCTTCATGAAATAAAGTCCATAACCCCAAGATTTGGGCATACCACTTTTTTCTAATACAAGTGATAACTTACAAATGATCATTTTCCCCTTTGTTATGAGACTGTTGAAATGTACTAGAAATGTGGAATAATGTTCTCGATGCACTTTTGTTTTCAATATTCCTAGTATTCTCTGTCAACCAAAAGAAATACAATTACAAAATTTGATAATCACATAGCAACGAGGGAACGGCAACTCCTAAAAGCAGAAACAAAGCTCCAAGAAGATGCAATGGCCTTTGAAGAGTTCCTTCGAGAAAATGACCAGAGATCTGTAGACGCCCTTAAAATGTTCGTTTGTTTCCACTCTGGCAAAATCGCTTTTTACCTCCTTCTTTCTTCTTTTCAGTTTCTTAGAACACAACACAAAACAAACTAACAAATCTCTGTTACCTTTCAGTGCAGCACAAGAAACTATAAACAAACTCCAAATGACCGCAGAGCTAAAGAAAGCGAGTATGGAGGTACAGGCAGTGAAAAGGTGAGGCCAGGATACCTTATCAAGTGCCCATGCCCCATTAAAACTTATTTGTGCCTAGCAAGACCTAAGTGAGAATAATCCTTATCAGTTGACGATTTTATAAGAGTGACCATATTTTTAAAATGAGTGATCTGTCGATCGAGGATCGTCCCAGCCTGGATATAGGGACAGTGTAGTGATCTCTGGCTGAAAAGTTTCTCAACTTGTCAAAACAGAAGCCAAGAAATTAGTTGAAAAGGAGTAAACCAATGTAAACAAATTATTTTCTAAGTGTCTTTTTTCTTTCATTCTAAGGCACATTCCCCCCCGCCCTGGCACTACATTTTAACATCACCACAATGGGGATTCATTTCACAATCATCTTACAATTATAACGGGCAGTATTTCCTTGGACAGTAATTTCATGATCCAGGAGACATTGTAGTCTTGGGATCAAGTTATGCTAAAATTTGTTTTTTCTTTTTGAGGATTTGATGGTTAGCCCTCCTCTAAAACCAAGTCCTGAACTCTAGTCTTTGTTGTTACCATCAAATAAAGAAAATAAAATCTTGAAAAATAAGCAAACAAACAAACAAATAAATAAATAAAACCAAGTCCTAGAGTTACACCCTAAACTCTGGGGGGTGGTGGGGGGAGAGGACAACAACTACAGGGAATGAACTGGATGGTAGTTTCTTTGAAACCCATTGTTACTAACAAAATGGATGTTTCAAGAACATTCTGGCTACAGCAGCCTCTTCTATGTTGGGAGCCTAGTTTAAGGCGCTCCATGATGGACAATTCCCTTTCCTCCTTCACTCCATAATGTAATTAGATGATTCTATTCTATCTATTTATAGAGTAGCAGCCTCTATGTTTGCATAGGATTTATGACAGTGACCACCCGGTTAAACCCTCCGACCAGCCTTGCGGAGGAGGACTTGCTGATTGTTTACATGTGTCATCATCTTAGCAGGGAGCAAAATATAATGGAAAACAAGCTGGTAACAGAGCAAGGGATGCAGGTGCCTGCCACTTATTTCCCTTTTCTCTCTTTATGGGCTCGAGATGTCCCAGGGAGATCGTCTACCTCAGGTAGGGCTGGAAATCTGTTTACAAAGAGGAAGGGAGCTGGTTCTGAAGTTTTTGCTCGGAAGCCGTGCAATTCTAGTCATCTTAACCCTGTTCTCAGGTGCACATCTGGGAGGCTTTCAGCCTAAAAAATATAGTGGTAGGACGAGGGGCTCCCAGTATCTTGTGACTGGTGGGTGATACATGAACTTCTTTAGATATTTAAAATGAGATCAAATGAGATACACTTGACCATAGAGAAAAACATCCAGGTTTGACTCTTGGATATCACTCGCACACACAGGCTTCAGAAAGGCTCTGATCGAAAGAAGTACCGAAGCTGAAGACACTGACATAGGAGTAATATTGATAAGGGTATTGACAAGGGTATGAATAAGGAAGGCTCTGAAGGGTAAGGGCGAAGCTCACTTTCATGAGGGCCTTCATAGTTACTTTCAGCATTCCTTCTGAATCCACTTGGCTGGGGAAAGACTTTCAATCCAGTACTGTTGGCAAGAGCTTGGGCATCTGAGACAGATCCAGGTTTGAGTGCTACCTCTGCCACTTACCAGACAGATGACTTTGCAAGTCATTCATTTCTTCTTCCGGAAGATAGAAATGATAATACTTATTTTAAAGTGCTGTACCGAAGATGAAATGATATCTGTAGTGTGTCCTGCGTATTCCCCGGTAGTTGTTGCTTGTTGAGTGTGTTTCCTTTCTTTTCCTCACATAAGTACCATCTTTTGCTACATTCTAATTTCTCCCTATGTCTAAAACTTAATATAATAGTTCCCTCAGAAATAAAATAAGTAGGGTCAAACTATCATCAGTCTGTCCTATCTGTGCATATCTTGGGGTTTGTTTTATTCAAATAGCATTCCTACAGTTTCTTTCTTCTCATCTCATATATAATTGATGTCCATATTTTTATGGTCTAATTTACAATTTTTGGTAAGTAAATGACTATTCAAATTATTATCAAGAGAATGAATTTTGTAAAAACTTTTTTTTTTAAAAAAAGAACATGCTTTCACACAGATGTATATAATCATACGTTTGTTTTCTTTGAGTAGTGAAATATCAAAAACAGAATTCCTCCTTAAAGAGTACATGAAATATGGACTTTTTCTTCTGAAATTGTCTCCAAAACATTGGCAAGTCCAGCAAGCGCTGAAAAGGTTACAGATGTCAAAGAGTAAGGAAAATATAAACGGCGTGCTTCCTAAAAAATTGCCAAGTGAGTCGCATATTCTTAATTTCCATTAAGTAAATAGCCTTAATTCTGAAATGTTCTGCTTCAATGTCTGTTATTTTTTTATTAAATAGTTAGAATTTTTATTTCAAGTAAGAACCTAAAGAAGGATACCCACTATCTCTGATACTATATATTATTAATTTAGAAACTCGGGTTAATTTCAGAAAAAAGCAATGAAAATATATACAAGGAGAAATAGAAAATATATTATTTACAGATAATGATAGCATACCTAGAACCCCCGCCCAACAAAAAAACCCTGAAAAACGATTTGAATTTATTAAAGGGTTCTGTAGAGTGAATGGACACTAAGTCAATTATACTTTATTCACCTATTAATCTAAATAGACTATTAATTAGGAAATATACAAGGAAATTAAACCCAAGGAAGCAATAATAATTTGAATTGTGTGACCTGGAGATTTAACAGATAGAAAACTATGTCATGTTTTAAGATAGAAATATTGATATTCTAAAGCTGCCAATTTTTCTGAATAGAAGTTTTATGGAATTATAATAAAAATGTTACCGAAAATTTGTCAGAGAGTTAAGTGTTGGGTTGGGGAGAACTTTACACAATGATTCTGAGGTTCATCTCGAAAAATAAACAAATACTTTTGAAAGAAAAAAGTAATAGGGGGTCTCACTAATACTTTAAGATATATAACGTATTATGACAGAGTCTCAGGAATTAAAATAGTATGGTACTGGTGTTTGGAAATCAGCTCAATAGATCAGAAATAGATCCTATTATATATATTAGAATTCAATAAGTGATCAAAGTGGGGTCACAAGTCAAATGGGAAGACTTCAACTTCTAATAACCTCGAAGTAGCAAGAACCAGATACCCTCCTGCTTGAACAGTCTGAAAAACAGAAGCGACAGTTTTCAGACATTGGACATCAGGAGGCCATGCACAGTAATACTTTAGAGAGAGGAAACAAATGAGATGAGCACTATGATGGCCTTGGGGTTCTGCCTAGGAACAGTTTCCTGGATGCAGCTTAGGAAGGAGGGCACCCAGGTGGGCCCAGCAGTTCCCATGAATTGTAAAGATGAGCTGGGGGTCTAGGGAGGTCACAGTGGCTGGCATCCCCAGAGCAGAATACTAGAGAGGGGAAAGCTACACAGAGTTCTGAGAGTGTGCAGAGTCTTCAGCTGAGAGCTGATCCTGAGACTACGGGGTATGAACACTTCACAGAAATCAGTAAATTACAAATCAGGGAGCATTTTTTCCCAGGGAGCTGTTTGTTAAACATTTACCAGCATGCCACAGATAGCTGTTCTGCTCAGTTCCCTTTGTGTCTTCCACTGTGTTGAGTGTGATTAAATTATACTATTGTGCATGAAATATCAAGCACAGTGATGATACCTGGTTAAACTCTATAGATGGTGTTTGACAAGAGAAATCAAATGAGAAAGAAAAGTGAGCAGTATCTGCATCTAACAGCCTGATTCAGTGCTGCTAGGCTTGTCCTCCAATTAGAGGATGCTCAGAAAGCAATGAGTCTCTTGGGCCAGAGGACTGAAAGGCTCACACTGAGAATTTAGAGGTGATGACAGACTGATGCAGGACATAGAGACCTCCTCATGCTCTGCAAGTCAGTCCCCATCCATTCTGCCTGCTCCAGAGCGTAGCCCTTGCCGTCTACATCATACATTTGCTGGTTACAATGTCCCCATCTTCTATTTCTGTCTCTGGAAGTTTTCACAATGACTCTACCTTCACTCTGAGATAAAGCCCTCATTCACAGAAGTGATTTTCCCCGCTTCCTCCTCCCTCTCTCCTCTCTTTCCATTTCTAGCTTTAACCACAAAGAAAAAAGAGGGCAGTACTGAGGACCTCAGGAGGGCATCGTTTTCAGAAGACTGTTCTCTGGGAAAAAGTAGCCAAGGTAACACAAAAGATCTGGGACTTCACTCATAAAGCCAGAGAAGGTGCTCATCACAAAGTGGAGATCAAGGACCTGTAAGCTAACCTGGAAAACAAAGGCTGGGGAGAGAGGCCTCAAGAAAGGTTGGCAGGAAGAAGAGTGATTGGCAGTCGTAAGAGAGGAAAGGTGACCTGGGGGGACTCAGGGGTCCCACTGGATGAAAAGATCCAAGACCATTTTTGCCCACTGCTCAGTTTCAGACCAGGATCAGGGCAGACATTGATGTGTGGGCAACTTGTATGTGGCCATGGTAGGTTTCTCCACAAGGTGTAATGATTGAAGTGGCCATCATTTTAATATTTTCCCTCAATTAAAAAAAATCTGTGATTAGAAATATGTAAGATTGGGTAAAAATAGAACCGTGGCTTATATTTCACAATTTGTGTCCCTGATTTGTGACATATCCTGTTTTTGACAAATACCCCGCTACCACCAGGGTGCCTTTCATTTTATTCTTATGCTTAGAACCCAATTTGAGCTCCATTTTCGATACGATTATCATTCTAATAATTTTAAAAAGCACTGGGCATTTCCATGCAGAAAAATGAATACCTTGCGTAAAGTAATAAGGATTAATTTCTAATTACATGTTATTTCTTTTCATCACCGCCATCGCCAATGACATGGACTTCACCTGGATATTTTGAACAGGAAAACCATGCAAGAAGCCCACTTTCAACATGGAGAATAAGAAACTATCTATATCAAAGTACAGTATATACTTAATTAACTCTCTGGGAAACTGTGAATGTTTTTTAGCAAGTATCTCTTTTAGTCTTTCTTCAACATGTATAACATGCGTCCACACACACTGTAACAGATCCTGGAGGTAGCAGTTGTGTTTCTGTGTGCTCCTGAGGTGACTGAGCTCTCGCAGGCCTCCCTGCACTCTTTTTTAATTTTTTTTTTAATTTTTCAATTAGAGTTGATGTACACTATTATATTAGCTTTAGGTGTAAAGCACAGTGATTAGACATTTATATAATTTACAAAGTGATCCTCCCCAATACATCTAGTACCCGTCTGACACCATATAGTTATTACAATGTTGTTGACTATATTTCCTATGCTGTACTTTACATCCTCTTGACTATTTTGTAACTACCGATTTGTAGTTCTTAATCCTTTTTCCTTTTTCACTCAGCCCCCCAACTCCCTTCCTATCTGGCAACCATCAAAATGTTCTCTGTATCTATGAGTTTGTTTTTGTTGTTTGTTCGTTATTTTGTTTTTTAGATTCCACATGCAAGTGAGAACATATGGCATTTGTCTTTTTCTGTCTGACTTACTGCACTCAGCACAATGCTCTCTAGGTCCATCCATGTTGTTGCAGATTGAAAGATTTCATTCTTTTTTTATGGCTGAATAATTTTCCACTGTACGTATGTACCACCTCTTCTTTATCCATTCATCCATTGGTGGACACCCAGCAGGCCTCCCTGCATTCTTTGATGAGTGCCTGCAACTGCTATTTGCGGAAACAGCCTGCCCTCTGCATCCTGGGTCTCTGCCTCTCAGAGTCTACTGCACAATTGTTTATTAAGCTACTTTGCTGGCCTGTATGTTTGCAATTTCACCAAGTCATTCAAAATTGCCACAGTAGGATCATAAAGCATTTTTGTTTGTTTGTTTCAACTTTGGTTAACCCACAGAAGCTTTAAGAGAATATATTGGTGCCCAGGTTGGGTACACAGCCCCAAGGAAGAAATCTGGGCCAGCACAGTAGTGTCCACGACAATCACACATGACAAAAGTCAACACAGACACCATCCTCTGAATTCCAGGGGCACCGAGGTTACTCCATTACTGCAGCATTCAGCAGTCACTGTTTTGTTATTAATCAAACATTTGTTTTGAATTAACTGTAGATTCACATGCAGTTGCAAGAAATAATGCAGAGAGATCCCATGTACCCTTTACCTAGATCACCCCAATGGTAACATCTTGCAAAATTGTAGTAAAATATCATAATAAAGATGTTGCCATTGATACAGTCAAGATGTAGTCAAATACAGAACATTGTCACAAGGATTCTTCATGGTGCCCCTTTATAATCACATCTACTTCCCCCGCTTCACCTCTCATTAGTCCTTGACAACCACGAATCTGTTCTCCACTTTTAAGTTTTTATTATTTAAAGAATGTTATATAAATGGAATCATATAGTATGTAGCCTTTTGAGATTAGATGTTTTACTAAGCATAATCCTCTGAAGATTCATCCAAGCTGTTGGGTCTATCAATAGTTGGTTCCTTTTTATTGCTGAGTAGTATTCAATGGTATGGACACACTACAATTTAATTATTCACTCGGTGAAGAACATCCAGATCGTTTCAAATTTGGGACAATAATGAACAAAATTACTATACATAAATTTGTACAACTTTTGTGTGAACATAGTTTTCATTTCTCTGGGATAAATGCCTAGACCACAATTGCTGAGTTAGATGGTAGATGCATGTTTCATTTTTAAAGAAACTGCCAAATTGTTTCTCAGAGTAGCTGTACCATTTTACATCCCCACCAGCAATGTATGAAGGATCCAGTTTCTTTACATCCTCACCAGTATTTGGTATTTTCACTATTTTCTTATTTTAGCTATTCTGATAGGTATGTATATCTTATTGTGCTTTTAATTTGCATCTCCCTAGTAGCTAATGGTGTTGAACATCTTTTCATGTGTTTGTTTACATCTTTATACCCTCTTTGGTAAAATGTCTATTCATATATTTTGATTGTCTGTTTTGTTTTTGACTGTTGGATTGTGAGAATTCTTTCTATATTTAGATATTAGTCCTTTATGACTATATGGTTTGCAAGTATTTTCTCGCAGTCTGTAGACTGTCCTTTTATCCTTTTAACAGGGTCTTTTATAGAGCAAAACTTAAATTTTGATGAAGTCGAATTTACCAATTTTTTCTTTTATGAATCATGCTTTTTATGTCAAGTCTAGAACTCTTAGCCTAGCCCTAGATCCTAAAGATTTGTTCATGTTTTATACTAGAAGTTTTATAGTTTTATATCTAAATCTGTGATCCATTTGGGTCAATTTTTGTATAAGATATGAGGTTTCTGTTTTTTCCTATGGATGTCAATTATTTCCGCACCATTTGTTGAAATGGCTTCTCCATTGAATTGCTTTTGCACCTGTGTCAAAAATTAGTTAGGCATATTTGTTCAGGTCTATTTCTGGATTCTCAATTCTGTTCCATTGATATATGTGGCTGTCCCTCCACCAATACCACCTGATCTTGATTACTATAGCTACTAGTCTTAAAATCAGGTAGACAGATTCTTCTTACTTCTTTTTCAAAATTGTGTTAACTATTCTAGTTCCTTTGTCTTTCCATATAAATTTTAAAATAATCTTGTCTATATCTTCAAAAAAAATCTTGCTGGAATTATGATAAGAATTGTGTTTAATCTTGTTATGGGTTGAATTATGTCTCTCAAAAAGATATGTTAAAGTCTTGGTCCATGGTATCTAAGAATGTGACCTTATTTAGAAATAGGATCTTTATAGATGTAATTAAATTAAGATGAAGTCATTAAGGTAAATCCTTAATCCAATACGACTGATGTCCTTGCAAGAAGAGAAGAAACACAGAAAGAACACCATGTAACAACAGAAGCAAAGACTGGAACGATGAATCTTCAAAGCCAAGGAATGCCAAAGATGGCTGGCAACACAAGAAGCTAAAAAGCATGAAACAGATTCTTCCTTGGAGCCTTAGAGAGATCATGGCCTTGCTGACACCTTGATTTTGGATTTCCAGCCTCCAGAATTATGAGAGAATAAAATTCTTTTTAAGCTACCCCATTTGTGGTACTTTGTTATGGCAGCCCTAGCAAACTAATACAAATCTGTATATCAATTTGGGGAGAATTGACATCTTTACTATGTTAACTCTTTCAGTCCATGAACATAGTATGTCTCTCCATTTATTTAGTTATTTTTGATTCTTTCATCAGTCTTGCATAGTTTTCAGCATACATGTATTGTACGTTTTGTTAGACTTACACCTAAGTATTTCTTTTCTAGTTTTCTTTTTTGAACAATTATAAATGGTATTGTATTTTCAGTGTCCTGTGTTCATTGTTAGTATATAGTAATATAATTGATTTTGTATTTGTATCTTGAATACTAACCTTGCTGAACTCAATTATTAGTTCTAGAAATTATTATTATTATTTTTTTAAGATTTCTTTCGATTTTCTATGTAGGCCATCATTCCATCTGCAAAGAGTTTTATTTCTTCATTTATGGTCTGTATGTCTTTTTTCCTATTCTTGCCTTATTGCAGTGGGTAGAACTTCCTATGTTGAATAAGAGTAGTAAGAGCAGATATCCTTGCCTTGTTCCCTGTCTTAAGAGGATCCAGGTTTTCACCATTAAGTAAAATGTGAGCTGTAGAATTTTTGTAGATGTAGAGACTGTATCAAGTTGAGGAAGGCCTCTCTATACAGATTTTTCTGAAAGTTTTTTTTTAAATCATAAATGAGTGTTAAATTTTGCCTAATGCCTTTTCTGCATCTATTGCTAAACATAGGAATATGCAGACACCACATTCATCCCTTCAGAAAGCTCACTACTCTCATAGTTTCATCCACTCAACAAATATTTATTGAGTGCCTTGTAGGCCCCCAAATAAGTAAATGACAGTCTCTGCTCTCAAGTAGCTTACCATCTAGCAAGAAAGACAGACAAGTAAGAGGAGCAGGACTAAAGGGGAAGATCAGGAGTATAATTTTGGATGTTAGTTTTCGCTCTCTATGGAACAGCCAAGTGGCTATTGATGTCCAGTGGAAGTAGGACATTGAAGTCTAGAGCTTGAGAGAAAGAAATGAGACGTGGGAATCACTAGTACATTAGCAGTGGTTGAATCCATGTGAGAAGATGATGAGATCACCCCAAAAGAATGGGTAGAACAAGGGGAAGAAAGCTGAGGAACTGCAGACATTTTTGTAGAAAAGGAACTAACAAAGGTAACAAGTTTCAGAGGTGGGAGAAGGCCAATCAGAAAGCGATGTCACTGAGTCCAAGAGAAAAGAGGGGTAGTATACAATAGTATCAGATGCTTTCTCAGGGCGCGGTCCCCAAATATTCATGTTCACGTATGTATGGCCTTTGCTCTGTTTTCCCACACTTTATTTCCCATTTTTTAAAGGGCAGCTCCAGGTAGGTATTTTGTCCCCTCACACTCAACATGAACAACACAAATGTTAATCTTTCTCTTATTCCATCCTTAAACTGTTTTCCTTTGTTAGTGCTATTTCCATTATTCCAGGCTCACAGACTACAAATTGTAGAGCCATCCTTGTCTCCTTTTGGCCCCAGTAACTCTTTCTATTCATGGTTCCCATGATTTCATTTTTTCATGTATCTCTAATTCTCCTCCCTCCCCCTTACCCATTTATTTTCTCCCATCATCACGACCCTCTACTTGAAAGTTTCTATTTCTTTAATAGTCACATCATTTTCAACATATCCTCCCTAAAGAATTTTTCCAGAGCCACTTTGCAAGGCACACAATAAGGATGTATCATCTCATCACCCATCCTCTCAACTAACATTTCCCCAACCTGATCAGCAGATATTTTAAAAGGTAAAATCTTCTCTCAAAAAGACAAATCAATATTGCATTACTCAGGGTACAAGCTTTGTTTTGAGCACGAGAGCATATTTAGCTTCTCAAAAAGACTGCCTTAAAATGGACAACATGGATGTGGCAATGTAGGTTGTGATATGCCCCGCCTTGTGCTCTCACTGTTTGCATATGTAACCCTTGTCTGGGTGAATCTGATTTTCTTTTGCATACTTATGGAATCCACTGATTTTTGTAATAAGCGGTTCCCTGAAAGGCTAAAATAGTTATTGAAGGAAACTATGTTACAGTTATGTTCCAAAGGAAATTTAGAAGTGAAAGTGTTGACAGAAAATGGCTCAGAAATCAGGGATTTTTTTTTTCTTTTTTCTTTTACAGTCCACCTGACAGTTTAAGTTCAGAAGACAGTTTGGAATTCACTTTAGATGATGATATGGACTATGACCTGGTAACTAGGTTATATTTCTTGATTTAGCTATTCTGTCTGGTGAAATGTATAGATGCTCATTTCTTCTTTGGAAATTTGAAATTTCTTATTTCAAATATTCCACAACTTTCCAGAAGAAAATATGATTTCAATACTGTTCCCTAATTGTACATATAGTTCATCTTTTGTCATCAGACATTTTATGAAAAATAAATGTCTATAACAAGGTAATAATTTAGGAGATATATATTATCTACACTCTTCCTATAAAAATAGCCACCTCCTGATTGCTTATGATTTTATTGGGGCTTGAGATATGTTGAGTAGCTAAACTGTAAGATAGACTGACCTTTAACAAAATAGCTCTTCATGGCTACAAGACTGACTTTCAGCTAACCCCAACCCAAATATAAACTCAGAAACTCAAAAGGAACAAAAAGCACTTTAAAACACCATCCATTATTATATATAACACACCTAACCCAAGTCCTCTTTTTTTCTATTGTGGTAAAAAACATAAAATTAAAAAACAAAACAAAACATAAAATTTACCATCTTAACCATTTTTAAGTTTACAGTAGTGTTAACTATATGCACACTGATGTGCAACAAATCTCTTAACTTTTTCATCTTGCAAAACTGAAACTATGCCCATTGAACAACTCCCCTATACCCTCTCTCTCTAGCCCCTGGCAATCACTGTTCTACTTTCTGTTTCTAAGAGTTTGATTACTTTAGATGCCTCATAAAAATGGAATCATGTAGTATCTGTTTTTTTGTAACTGGTTTACTTCACTTAGAATAATGTCCTCCAGGTTCATCCATGTTGTAGCATGTGATAGGATTTCCTTCTTTTTAAGACTAATTAATATTCCATCGTAATTTTAAGGCTAATTAATATTCCACAGTATGGATATACTGTGTTTTCTTTACTCATTCATCCGTTGATGGACGTTTAGGTTGCTTCCACCTCTTGGCTATAGGAAATATGATAAACATGGGTGTGCAAATACCCATCTTTTTAAAAGTTAAATTTAATACACACTTATTCCTAAAATTTTGGAAAATATAAAATAATTAAAATATAGGGAGAAGAGGACCCTCACTTAACCAAGTCTTTGTCTTTTTTCCATTTCTTCTGCCTTGCCTTTCCCTAGACCCACCTTTCCATTTTTCCTGCCCCTGCCTCCTTTTCTGCTCCACCCTTGATTTTTTCTTTTCCTTATGATCTTTTTTCCCTTTTTCCAATACCTTCCATCTCCCCTAAATGTTCTCTTCCTGAGGGCCAGCTCTCACATGGAAATAGGCTCCTTTGCCATTATCTATGTCTGCCTCATAATGAGAATGATGTTCCTTTACCCCATTGCATTTTTCTAGATGTCACAGGTGCACAGGCAGCATATTTTTAAGTGAATTATATTCTTTATTATTGATTGATTAGGAGCCAGAACTTTATTTCAAAGAACCAGAAGAGTTACTTCAAGTCTTCACAGAGCTGGAAGAGCAGAATCTTACTTTGGTACAATATTCCCAAGATGTTGATGAAAATCTTGAAGATGTGAATAAAAGAGAAAAACTTATACAGGATAAAATGTAAGTCATTAAGAACAAGTAGTTTTATTCCAGTAAGTGATTTCTGACCAGAGACAGAGTCCAACTCATTCATGTGTGGTCGTTCCTTGTGGTCTCTCTGGATTTAGGGTAGGATTTTTATTAATAATAGTTTACATTATAGAGTCTAAAGGGTAGAAGTTATATTTATACAGAAGAGACTGGCTTTAGTTTAATTTTAGTCCCTACTTCCTTTCACTTGTCAAAATATTTTTCCTAGCTACAATAATAAAAGATTAAAAAGAGTTGAAATGTCACCTAATGCCTTTATTAAAAAAAATTTTTATTAAAATCTAGCTAACAAATTATATTAGTTTCAGGTGCACATCATACTTATTCAACATTTATATACCTAAAGAAGTGGTCACCATCTGAAGTAACCATCTGACCAAAGTAACCAAAGAAGTAACCATCTACACCATACAACACTATCACAATATCATTGACAATATTCCCTATGCTGTATATCAGGGTTCTCCAACCCCTTGGCCACGGACCGGTATCAGTCCATGGCCTGTTAGGAACTGGGCCACGCAGCAGGAGGTGAGTGGTGGGCGAGCGAACAAAGCTTCATCTGTATTTGCAGCCGCTCCCCAGCACTAGTACCACTGCCTCAGCTCCACCTCAGATCATTAGGCATTAATTAGATTCTCATAGGAGAATGCATTTTCCTTCGCTGTGACTCTCCTCAGCAAAACAGCTATTTTGAGACTTAAATACTGTATCATTTTGTAATGTACATATCAATATATCAGGGCTATTATAAAAGAGATTTATCAGGGAAAGGTGGCTGGATTTGATGACTCACAACATTCCTTGCTACTCTAAAATTTTATATTATTACTTATCATAATTATTAAATTCATATTTTGAAATAACTGGGTCACAAGGAACAGATCTTTAAATCTACCCATTAAAAAAATGTGTAGAACCAAGTTTTCTGGGCCAGCAGATGGCAATCTTTTTAAACAGTAGGTCAAACCACATTAAACTTTGGAACAAATTGACTTGTTTAGAAGAACCTAAAAATCACGATCTTATAGTCACCCATTACCACTAATGCATCCTTTTACTCCGTATCTCCTCTTTCCCAATCCTCACAGCATATGGTGTCCCCAACTTCTGACCATATGACTTTTGGGGGTGGGGTAGGCATGAAAAGGGGATCTCTGTCAGAATCCATCTCTAGATCTATATCAGAATCTCTAGGTGAGGGAGTCAGGACTCTACTTTGCCTCAGGGCTCCCCAGAGTCTGATAACCAACCAGGTTTGTGAACGCAGATATAATAGATGTACCCACAACTTGGGCTTTTGACACCTCAGCTTTGCTGCTCTCTATTTGGGGGACTCGGGAACCACAAAAGTAGTAGAGAGGAAGAAAATGCTTCCTGATGGAAATTAAAAGCAGCCTCTGTGCATTTATTTTTCTCATTTTAACCTGTCCTTTGGCAATGTCTTAAAAATAAAAACTCAGATTTGGCTTGCTAGACATAGGATGCTTATACATGTTCTGGAAGGAGTGTTGAAGCTCCTGACCGATGGTTTATTTCACTAAACCACAGACAAGGGTCTCTTTCTTCTTTTGCAATAGAAATAGCAACATAGAATTTCTTTTGGAGCACAAGGAAATGCTTAAGGCTAACTGTGTGAGAGAAGAGGAAAAAGCAGCAGAACTGGAATTAAGGTCCAGGCTATTTAATTTTGGACAATTTAATTCAGATGCCCAGGTAATCATTGCCTATGGTAATTTTATTTCAGCTCATGATAATAATTTGCATTCACTGTATACTAAACATTGGAATGGGGAAATGAAAGCGAATCACAAGTCCCAGGTTGATGAGAGAGAGAGAAAATCAGCTTGGAATTAACCTGTCAATTATCTAACAGTCAATTTATATAGTTAAGTAGATAGAAAGCATTCAAATTGGCATTGGGGTTCTCTTAAAATATTGCTGAGAATTTCCCCCCTATAAATACATTTCTTTTAGTCAGAGTGTATACATAGGAAATAGTTCACTGCCTGTGATCATTTCGGCATTAATTTAAGGAGAAAATAAGAGAGGAAAAACTGATATACTCTGAATGGAATATCTGACCAACACTGAGCTTGTAACAGGTTTTGGCCTCTTTGGGCCTGCACGGATTCATCAGAGCACCTGAGACACACAGTAGTGCAGTTATATGTTTATATGTTAGTCTCTCCCAGCTGTATGCAAACCCCTCGAGGGCAGAGATTTCTTACTCATCTTAGCTAAGTTTAGTGTCCCTGTAAAGTAGGTGCTCAATAAATGTTTGTTGGATGATGATTAGGTTAGTTTCTAGACCCACAACTCCAGCTAACACTGGTTTTCTTATAAAAATCTCAAATAAAAATTCAAGCTAATATGTGAGGCTAATATCACATTACGGTTATGAACTTGATTTTCAAAAAAAGTAGATTTGGGGAAACTGTATGAGATGATTGTCCACCTCTGCCCATAGGTAGGCAGGGTTACAAAAAGCATCACTTTACACATACATATTTCCTGGGGTGGTACAGTACCCTGAGTTAGGAGGGGATATGGCATGCCTTGCTAGAGCAAGTGTGATGACACCTTTCATTTCAATAGTTTTTTCCTTACCTTTTGTGGTAAAACGTACATAAATTTTACCATTTAACCATTTTACGTGTACAATTCATTGGCATTAAGTATATTTGCAATACTGTGTAGCCATCACCACTATTTATAGAATTTTTCATCATCCCAAATAGAAACTCTGTATGCACTAAACAATCATCTCCAGTCCTCTATCTTCTCAGCCTCTAGTAAATCTCTATTCTACTTTCTGTCTCTATAAATTTGCCTGTTTTAGGTACTTCATGTAAATGAAATCATTCAGTAGTTGTCCTGGCTTATTTCACTTAGCATAACATGTTCAAGTTTCATCCATGTTGTAGCATGTATCAGAATTCCTTTTATGGCTGAAAAATATTCTACTGTATTTATTTACATTTTATTTATCCATTCATCCATTCATACTTGGGTTGTTTCCACCCTTCTGTTTTGAAATATTCTGTTTGAAATAATTCTGAAGCAGATTGACATGAAATATGTGGTATCTCCCCCTCCCACCAAGCCCCCTTCATCCAAGTTTAGGGCAGCTAAAAATATATAGATATAGATATAGATATAGATATAGA